TAATATCTTAAAATTTGACTTATCATAAAGAACCTCTATATTTGATTCTTTTAAAATTTTCAGCATTCTACTTCGTATTATTATATGAGACTTTACTTTCTTTATTTTATAATCTATTTATAAAGCTTTTTATCAGCTTCAAGATAAAAGATTCTTCATCTAAAGCTAAGCCTCTTACTTTTTTTTTGTTTTAATTGTCTAATTTAAACTTGTAATTACCCAATGTTTACTATGTTACGATTGATATCAAAGTGCTCTGCTGCCTTAATGTATTTATATTCTTTACGTAGGTAATGACTTATATATTTTATTTGATAGAATATAAAGTTTATATACGTTTATTAACTTTTATAACCTTTTGTTTAACAATTCTTTTTTTGTAAAATATAATATTAATATACAATCCTGTCAAATTGCAATTATTAGATGGGTGTTTGAGTAGTAATTCTTTTAAAGTTTACATAGTAATCTAACACAGTTTTAACTTAAACTTTATAATTTACATGACAGTATACTCTTAACAATACTAAAAGTAAAATAACTCAATTAATTCAAGATTATAATGATATATTTATTTACAATAAGAAATAATAAATAAGAAAAGAAATAAAAAAAATAAGAAGAAAATAAAGAAAATTAAAAGAACTAAAAATACTAAATATGAAAGTTAGGCTAAGTGTTTCTAAAAGTGTTACTAAAGATATATCTAAAAGTAAAACTAAAAGAAAACTAAAAATAAACTAAAAGTGAATTGAAGTTTACATGATTTTATTGTTTTCTATTTATATTAAATTTAATACATAAATGAATATAACAAATAAATTGAATATGTCTAATATATCAAATATATCTAATATATTCTATCTATCTAATATACCAGTTATGTCAGATTTATCAAATATATCCTATATGTTAAATATGTTTGATATGTATGATATTTAGATCTACACTTTCTTACATTACATAAATTAAATACATTTATTAAGTTGATTATGTTAACTATATCACTTAAGTAACTATTTATAATGCATTATGTAGATCAATTAAGTTATAATAATTCTGTTACAGTGGTATTTTAGTTGAATAAAAAATTTTTTCATAACTTTACGTGATATTTAATAATTAACGCATTAACGATTATAGGATTTATTAATAAATTAGCAGAATTTTAGATTGTATATCATAAGTTAGTTAAATATATCTAAAAATAAGCAATAATATAGCAAAAAATATATTGCTTATTTTCAAAAGAATATGGTAATAGAAATTTTTAGCATTTGTTATGTATAGGTAAATATAATATGATTATTCCTTAGCATTTATTAGTAATATGAATAAAACTCTATTGATATTTGATTTATCAAATAATACTACTATTAATGAAATAGGAACAAAACTATTAGTATTCGTATAATAGGTTATAAAAAACCAATTTTACAGTAATTTTAATCTGTATAGCAGATGGAACTAAACTTTCTTCTTTTGTAATTTTTAAACTTAAAAAAATTTTAAAAGGAATTTTTCACAAAAAGATATAAATGAAAATGAAATGTTATATTAGATTAAAAATGTTTAGATTCAATATGCTGAAAGACTTTTTAATCTATAATTATTAGTTTTAAATTCATTTTTAACACATATTGTTAATTCTGTTAAAAGATGTTTTGAAAAAAAAATACTAATATTACTATTATTATACAAAAGAAGACATAAATAATGATAATCAAATAGATGATATCAATCCCTAGAAAATCATATATATCTTATACATCTTCTATATCATCTATAGTATATATTTTTGTATATATTATATCTTATTTATTTATTTTATTTCTTTTATATTATATATTTATTATATTATATTTATTTTATATATTTTATTTATTTTTTTTATATCTTCGATAACTTTATATATTTTATTTTATATAAATAGAGAAACTTTTTCTTTTAACTTAGTAGTGTATCAAATAGATAGTTTTATTAAATAATTTAGTTTAATTTCTTTAACATATTTGTATAGTACAGAGCAGACTAAAGCAGTATTCCATTATTATTAATATTAAATAAACTATTAATTGATTGATACTCTTTTAAAACTAATATAAAATAAACCTTCTATTTATCACCTATAAATATTGTTTCGCTTATCACTTATAAGCATTTTACAGAACTGACTGTAATACTATTATTTTTGAAGGAGTAATATTTCAATTACAACTTTTAGATGTTTCACTTAATAAATCATTTAAATTAAAGATAAGATTTATTAAATTATTAAATATTTATTTTATTTTATTTATTTTATTTTTGTATTTAATTCTAATTATATTTATAAATTTATTTCTTATAAATGAGAAATAAATATAATAAATGGATATCTGAATCTTTAAAAGAATCAACCCCTGCTAGTAAAATCAAAAGACCATTTTATGAAACTGTTATAGATTGGATTAATAAATCATAAAATACAATTAATATTAATTTAATCCAAAGATTTTCTAAATATTATGCCATTTTTAACAATCGTGATAGAATAGAAGATGCTTGGATTTTTAAGCATAAACATCTTAAACAAGCAAAATCAAATGATAAAGTATAAATTTTAGATGATATTAATGAAAATAATAAAAATAATGATATTAATGATAATTATTATGAGGAGGAAGATTATGATAATGAATAAAATTAAATAATAATTATGAATACTTAATAAACAATAACATTTAATATTAATAAAGTACAAAATATAATAATAAAAAATTTTTTTTATATTTAATATATTATAATTAGTCAATTGATCAATATTATTGTGATAAATTTAATTGATATCATTGTAGTAAATTTGATCAATTTAATTGGTTAATTTATTAGTACCTCAATAACAATTAAAAATTTTATTTTTAATAATTGAATAGTATCTATTATTATTCAAGGAAAATATTTTGCAAAGGAGATATTATTATCAATGCTATACAATATACTCAAACTTTTGATAATTAGTATTATATAAAACCTATTATTAATATGTATTTAGATAAAATGATGAAATTTAAAAGTTGTATTTTTTTGTCATTAATTTAGTTAATACTAGAAAGTTTTATATAATCAATATAATAATATATGATCTTATCAAAAAAAATAATTATCTCATGTTAGCTCTCACTAGAGTAGCAGTCCAAAATATTAAAAGAATGATAATACATTCTATTTTATAGATCATTTTTATCTAATCAAATTTTTATATTCAGACATATGCTAATGATAAGTTAAATTCTACTTAGAGAAGTTCATATAATAATCATTAATAAGATTTGAAGGTCTTTACAAAATTACTTGACTTTATATTAAATTTATTTGATAATATTTATGATAATATCTTTATTTTTAACAAAATTAACATTATAATTGTTAGTGATTTGACTTAACTCTTACCTATTACCAGTAAACCCATATTTCACATACTATCTGGTATTTGTTTTTTTCGAATTCTATGATGCTAGAATAATGATCCTAAATTTTATCAAATGTTAGAAAAGGTATGAATAAGTAACTTATTGACTGATACCTAAAACAAACTTCAACATCAGCATTCAGAATTTTTAATTGATTTACTCTTAAATACTCTACTTACTATGACTTATGTAATGAGATTTAAGCAAAGTGTTGAATCAATTAATAGTAGTATGTAATACACTACCTGTTTCTAAAAACAAATTCCTAATCTCCTAAGCTTTAGATTATGTAAATTTTAAACAATAAAACCTTCTGATTCAAACAGAATATTCAAAAAAGATAAACTTATCTCCGTTTTTATGATTACAACTGGATACCTGAGTAATATATCTAAATAACTCACTAATTGAATACAGAATTTGCAATGATACAATTAATATTATTATTGATATCAACTCTCAAGAAGAATGTGTCATAATCGCCTTCTCTATCAAAGGATAAATAATTGATATTAACATCTATAAGCAAACACACTACTTTCAATTTTATAGAAATAACTATCATTGAACCCAATTTCCTATCCAAAATGTTTCGCATTAATAGTTCACAAAATCCAAGGCCTAATCTTACCAAATGTATGTCTGGCTCTGGATATAAATATATTCACCTTAGCAAAGCCTACGTCACACTTAGCAGGTGTACAAATTAGCATAACGTCTCTATATTTCACCTTGATCCCTTCTGCATTCATAGCTGATCAAGGCGTCATTTTAGAATATCAAAGACTTAACCAACATTGCAAATTTCAATTCTCCCTGATTTTCGTAATCGTACGATAATTCTTACGTTACATTACACAATAGATGTTATTTTTTTCTAAAAAATTAAAAATAACCATACATTATCAGACAAATCATTTTATTTTTTCGACTGTCCCCGTGGATACTGGATGAAAATTACTGGCTAGTTATTTACTACAAAATTAGAGATATAATTAAGATCATAACAGAGAATAAATGCATTCGTTCATCTAAAAACATGATTAGCCGAAGAATAGGAAAATTTTGATCTTTATGCCAACTAAAGTTAGATCTAACAATGCTTTGTTATATACAATAACAGGTCATAAAAAATTTCATCCTACGTGATTTTGGCAGGCATTACGGCATTAAAAAAGTTAAACCCATGATGTGTAAAATGTTGAAAACACGTGAAAGGAAAAATTTTATGAAACGTCAAGTGATCAAATAAACGGTGTTCAGTTAAAAATATTGAAAAATACACACACACTTTCATTTGCCTGCGCTCGTCTCCTTTTTCTAGAGGAGGCGTAGTTTGTAATTTAATTAATAAAACTTCTTAGCTCACAAAGTAACTATGCTGAAATGTTTTGATCTCGCGTGTTTTTTTTTTCTTTTTTTTAAATTCTAACGCTTATTTTGTTTTCACGATAATGTAATTAAGGTAAGGTGGATCAGTGACATTAGTATAATTTATCAATAAAAAATTCTAAATTCTTTCCCTTCCGATAGGGTTCTTTTGTTGATATGGCGTCCAAATTGAATACAGATTGTTTGGAGGAAATTTTTGGATTTTTAGAGTTGGATGGGATGGGTCATGAAACAACATTACGATCATGTATTCTACATCCATGTATCTTGGTTAATCGACAATGGTGTTTTAGTGCGGTTAGAATATTATGGAGTAACCCGTGGCATTTTAGAAAGGACCTTGAATGTGTCAAACCCAGCATCATCAACACATACATATCAACATTTTCTAAAGAATCCAAAGAACGATTAATAGAGAACAAGATCATTCTACAAAGTGAAGCGGAAACGCAACCGACATTTAATTATGCCTGGTTCTTGAGAAATTTACATTTGTTTCATTTAGAAATGACATTAAAATCATGGTTTCAATCTTTTCAACAACGACGACGGAGTGGTGATATAACGATGTCAAGGGGGATTTGTTCAATAAATTATAAACTTGTCTTTGAAGAATTATTAAATAATTTCTTTACCACATCACCCTGTATCTTAAAGTTAAGTATTTCTGCTTATGATAATATAACCTGTTTAACAAATTCTATTGAACAAACTCCAAAATCGATCGATTGCTTAGCCAATTTACGATATTTTCGGAGTAGTGGTGATCTTCCTTCGATGCCAAAATTATTTTCCCTCCTTTCCAACATAAGTCCAAATCTTTTAAAATTACAAATCGATCGTTACATAATCACCGAAGAATTAGCGGATTTAATTAACGCTCAAAAAGATTTAAAGGAAATCTTTTTTCACAAACATCCAAGTTTAAGGCATCGTCCGTTATCCTTATCGAATAACAAGATAGGCACATCGTTAATTAATAAATCTCGTTCAATTAAATTATTAGAAATTAAAGGAGTTTATTTTCAAGCGCAAATGTTTTCAAATTTTGAAAATCTAAGAGAATTATATATTAAAATCTGTGGTGGAATGAAGTATACTCGGGAGGAATTATTACCCTTGGCCTTCGTTTCTTTAAATCATTTACAAAAATTATTTTGGCATTCAACTCATTACATTTACCTAGATTTATTTCCAAACTTTTTTAGAAATAGTGGAAAACGTTTGAAAGTCATTACCATTAAAGGGTTTATGATTTCAGATCCAAAGGGTGCTGGATTATTAATCAATAGTGTAGCGAAGTATTGTGTTAACTTGAGATCTTTCTCTGGACCGATTTTAATAGAAAATGTTGCGGAGTTAACAAGGTTGTTGGAAAATTGTAATGAATTACAGAGTTTATCATTGCATCCTTCAAGGAAAAAATGTTATGGACCACAAATTAAAGGATATTTCGATGATTTGATGAACGTTTTGATTGATCAGCAAGGCGGTCATTTATCGGAATTGATATTAGCACACAATTGGACCTTTAATATCGGATGTTTTGAAAGGTTAATGAAGAAATTTGAAAAATTACAAAAGAAGAAATTTAATTTTGTTTGTGATGTGAATATTCTGGGAGATCCTATACTTGAAAACATTGTAAATAGATTCGTGGAGTTGGGAATTTTAAAAGAAATCGATACCGGTTATGTTGAATTTGGTTATTAGGGTTAGAAATATTATTATGAGAAATGTTTACTTGTGACCATTCGGGTGATCGATAATCATTTAAAATCATATATATGTATATGTATATATATATATAATGTTAATTTATTCTTTTTCATTGTATCAAAGTTTACAAAAAAAAAAAAAAAAAAAAAAAAATGTTTATAAAGTCTAATCAAAATAAGATCCACCCATATTAAAATCAAGGATTTTTTTCCTTTGATACTTTGTACAAACTTGATGGAAATCATGCGAGTTCATAATACCGGGGTTGTAATGAAATTTGATAGGTTTCTCAATCATCTCTCTACTTTTCAAAAAATCTTCAAAAGGTTTCAAAGACATTTTCCACGAATCCATCAGTCTCAGTTCCATCAAGGATGTTGGGGAGATTTTTGTTATCACGTCTAATAAATCATCAATACTTGAAGTCTTAATTAATAATTTTGTAGGATAAAGTCGTAAAGATTTCAATTGTTTGCAAGTTTCTAACAATTTGGAAAATTCCTTCACACTATCTCTCGCTATAGGGCCATCATAAGATTGTAAATTGAAACATGTAATCGTAATTGAACCTAAAAGTAATCTCGAATTTCCATCATTTCTTGCTCTGAGCGTAATATGACGAAGGTTTTGCCCGTTCAAGAGAACAAATCTCGCAAAAATATCTAGATAGATTTTGTGACTACATATCCAAGAAAATATTTCTAATTTTTTGAAGGAAGTCATAAATAAAGGTTCGTATTCATCTCTTGTGAACTCTATACCCTCAAATTTCACCATCAATTTCTTTAAATTTTCAAATTTTGGTAATAATTGCATGGAAAAACAGTAGGCTTCATACTCTAATTGAGTTACCGAAGAAGAATTTTTTACGTGTAGAGAACACACTTGATTTTCGTCGGAATTCGGCTTCCTTTCATGATATTGTTTAATGTTAATTATTTGAAGTTTCCTTTGAGAATTGATTAACATTGCTAAATCTTTTGTAATTTTCGCATTTTCAATGTATAATCTTTTGATGTTATGAAGGATGGTTGATAATATCGGATATAATCTTTCCCCACCTGATCCTGATTTGGCACATTTAAAATCTGATACCGTTGAAAGGCATGTTTTTGCTTCAGGAATCGTTTCCATTGCATGTATCAGGATCTCACTAGCCTGATAAGTTGAATTCACGTGTAAAACGTATATGCAACGTGATTTCGTAAATATCTCTTTGACAAATTCTCGCAATAATAATGGTAGATGATCTGCCGATATTCTTTCTCTCTTAAGCAACAATTGAATTGATTTTTCCAAACAAGAGATTTTTAGAATTCTTAAGAATGATATATAATTGAAGGTTGGTGAATCATGTACATTAAATATTTTTAAATCATTTTTTAATAATAATTCCTTGGATTTTCGTGGAAATTTTGAAAGGTAAATCTTAAGAATTGCGCATAGTACGTATGATTCAATTTGCCATGGATTTTTCCACAGTTCTGGTATAGCGCATTGACACCAAAGTTTATTAACTACAGCACAAGAATATAATGATCTGTAATCTCCTTCTAAATTTTCAAAGATTCTTACTAAACAATCGAAATTCAAGTTGGACATGATGAGGTGAGAGGAGAGGGAGGAAAAAAAAATTTTCAATTTTACGGAAAATTATGAGAAAAAATAGGAGGAACAAGAAAATGAACCCAAATATCGATAAATTTATTACGTTTTTACCGTTATATTATTGTCGCACCTCCGCAGTAAATAAATTTGGAAATTTGATATAATGCCAACCCTAAAAAAAAAAGAGACATTAAAAATCGAGTTGCAACCGCTGACAAATAAGTTTCACAGGGTGCAACTAGTTGTAACGTCATCTTTAGTGAAAAATATTTATTTATTTTATTTATACGGAACTCCTTTAGGTATTAATTATGCCGAAACGAATTGTTTATTTCCACCTATTTCAGTATTTCAAACAAAAGAATTGAAAATTGGGATCATGTGATCTAGATATATTTGAATTTCGGCGGAACCGTTACACCGATACGATCGATGCCAAAAAAAAAAAAAAAAAAAAAATAATAATAATAATGGGGAAAAAAAAAGAGATCACGATTTTCTCAGTTCGATCTCTTTTTTATTTTTTTTTTTTTTTCAACAAATAAAAGGAAATGTTTAAGCAAATGTTTAATCGTCCTAATCGATTCATTTTAACATCAAATTTCAAACGTTCAAATGATATTTCAAAAAAAAAATTTTTAATGAATTCTTCAATTAGGAGGTACCTTTCCAACAATAACCTCAACAAAAGTATTATTAATCGTCATTTTCTTTTTTCATTTTCAACATCACAGATGCGTGATGATGTTTTGTCACAGCAGAAGCGACATTCAATGAATGAATTACGTTTTCAACACACATCCGTTCATCGACAACAGTCATTGGAATCAAATTCTTTGCAAGTGTTGATAGATCATAACAAGGAAACGTTATTGAAAGGTCAGACACGATCCGATATGAATAATCGCGCATTAGATTCTAATCATGAAATCTTTGAAAAATCTAATTTTATTGCTAATGAATCACTTGATTTATCAAATAACAAAGAAATTTCAGGTGAAACGAATTTGATAGAGGAGAATAATCTAGGAAAGAATACATTGGATCAAAATCAACAAGTTTTAGAAAAGTCGATATCCTTTGCCAACGATGAAACATCGGCAATCATAAGTTCTTTAGATCATAACAAGGACATAAAATCATCTAACGAATTCGCCGAAAAAATCGATAATGATGAAGGTTCATCATATCGTCCATTTATTCCAACCGAGGGAAGAGATATTAATGATATATGGAGTGATTACAACAACCTCACTCAAGAACAATTTAAAACTATGACAATAAAAGATTTTAATAACATTCTTGGATCATTCAAAAAATTCTTGATATATTCGGACGTTCACGACAAATTATTAGTTCATGGCAAGATGTTGTCAATATTTAGTGATCTTGAAATGAAGGCAAAGTTAAAACCGGATGTTTCCACATACAACATTTTAATGTCCACGGCTTTGAATTTGCAAGATTTGTCAAAATTACAAAATTTATTCAAAATCATGAAGAGACAAGAGATCAAACCGAATACAGTATCTTATAACATAATGATCTCGGGAACTATTAAATTAGGTCATCGTCCAGATGCATTTAAATTATATAATGAAATGGTTGATTTAGGAATTGAAAGAAGCAATATCACTTATTCAATGTTACTTTCCGCGTGTGCTAGAGATTCTCGCTTCATGGATGCCTTGTCTTATCATGAAAAAATGTTAAAGGAAGGGATCAAGCCAGACGTTTACAATTACAATGCACTACTAAGGGTATTGATGAATAACGCCGATAGGAGCAAATTAATTGGAATTTATGACGTAATGAAGAAACAAGGGATCAAACCTACGATAGTGACGTATAATTACCTCATCAAAGGGATGAATTTACGCGGAGAGAAGGAATATGCAAAGAAATTTCTTGATGATATGAAAAATGAAGGAATCAACCCTAGTATCTTGATTCTTGATTCATTTGGAATCACTGGAATTGAGGCCATTCAAAAATCGGGAGATCAAAGTGGAAAATGTTTAGATGTAATCGATTATAATACACTGTTGCGTGGATGTGTGAAAAAATCCGAATATCATGATGCATTCGAGATTTTCAATCTTATGAGAGAAAACAAAGTGACTCCAAATCTAGCAACGTATACTATAATTATGGGGGCTTATCTTCAGAAAAATGAAATCGAATTCGCCATGGAATTATTTAATAGGATGAAGAACGACAATGTAGCTCCTGATTCACAAGTTTACACTTTTATGATCGATTCTTTACTGAATCAAGGGAAAACGAAACAAGCATTTGATCTATTATCAGAAATGAATAACGAGACAAGTGGTAAGAAGGATAAAATAGCTTTTAATAAGAAAGAGGTAATCCGACTTCTTGGTTCAGCATCAAAGTTAGAAGGTAATGATGTGATTGAAAATCTTTTCCGTGAAATATCAAGAACTCCGTCTCAATTGACAAGTGGTGCCTTTGAAAAGGTTCTTTGGCGCGTAGCACAAGGTAAAGATGAGGAAAGGATCGAATATTATTTAGAATACATGAGAAAGAGAGAAATCCCCATTAAAAATACGACGTATGAAGCAATTATCGACGGGTTTATTCAAAAAAAGGATATAAATAATTCTATATACTGGTACGATCGGATGGTTGATAAGGAATTCGTTCCAACAGGAAAAATTATTTTCAGGATGATGCAATTCTTTTCTAATAGTAAAGAAATAATAAGATATTGGGATGATTTTTTTAAATATGGAATTAGACCTGGGAAAGATGATGTTAATTTAATCATAGATTATTGCTGTAGTGGTAAAACGAACAGAGATTTGGTACCAAAAGTTTTTTCTCAATGCAGAACTATGAGATTTGTTCCGACCAATGAAATCCTTTTAAAGGTCATGCAGTTTTATTCTAAAAGAGGTAAAACAATGAAAGTGGTAGAATATTTGGATCTTTTTTATATCTTTGGAATTAAGCCAGAATTAGATGTTATTAGTTTTATATTAGACTTTTGTTGTAAATTAAAAAACAAAAGGTTGATATCAGACATTCTTTCTCAGTGTAGTATCATGGGTTTCGATGGCTTTTCGCTTTATAGGACAAAGAGATCTAACGTAGAAACTGATAGCATTGATGCTTCGTTACTTCACCCTGGTGATGCAATAAGTTCACATGAAAATAGTTTAGAATTAATTGAGAATTGGATATATTCTAAAGGAAAGAATAAGAGAAAGTTAAATTTAGAGAAAATTAAAAGGATAAGAAGGATATTAGATTTAGAAGAAAAGGTTTTATTAAGGCATAATAAACTTGATCCGATTATTAGAAAAAATATACAAACTTGGACTCCCTATAGCGCGGCGGGTGCTAGTTCAAAAGATGACAAAGACGCAAGCGTTGAAAAAAAAGTTGAATCAGATTCTTTTATAGATCATGAATCTGACATTGATTCAATTATCGAAAAAACATTTTGCGAACAAAGCGATGAGGAAATAATTACTTCAAAAGATTAAATTTCTTGGAACGATTTATTTATATTCACTAGTTATTTTTCTAATTAAAAATAATTAATCAATTATATATGTCGCAGCTTGATAGAAGCATTGTAAAGAAAATCTGTAATAAAGAAATCTCATTTATATCATGATATCGTTAATCTCCTAACTACCAATAAAAAGTGATCCACATTGATAAATTTTACGAAAAAATTATATCTCAGACGTTAAAAAATCTTAAGCTTCAAATTTATTAGAAAATCTTTAAATACATATATTATTTATTTATTTAAGTTTATTTATAATAATATTATTAAAAAAAAAAAAATAATAATAATAATAAAAACATTAATTTTATTTTTATATAATATATAATCCTAAAGATTATCAAATTATATAAATAATATATTTTAACTTAAAATAAAATAACTATTAAATTAAAATTAAAATTGTATAAATTAAATTTCATTATATATTTTTCTTAAATTTTGATATTATTTGATATAATATAAAAAATTTACTAAATTTATATCATTTTAAAAAATTTTTAATTTAAATAATTTTTATTAATAAAAAAAATTATTTAAATAAATATTAAAAAAATTAATTTGAATATATTATTTTTTCAAGATAAAAGTTTAATAAAACAAATATCTTATATTTAAGATTATTTTGATAAGATAAAATAAAAATTATATTAAATATATTTATAAAATATATAAATAATTTTTTTTTTATTTTTTATTTTTTCAATTCATAATTATTAAGTATTATGCAATACTGCAATATATCTTCAAATATGCTATATTTTTAAAAATATTTTAATTTTACTAACTAATTATAATAGGGTTATGATTAAAAAGTAAATAAATTTCAAAATATAGTATCAATATTATTATTATGGAATTTTTCAACTTAGATTGGTTATGTTCTTAAGTTTTTACTCAAGATTACTAACTGCAACTTATTGTGGTTAAGACATTAAAATCTGTCTAACTCTTAATTTTATCAAATTTACACATTAAACTTAAACAAATCTATCAAATATAAAAACTTGAAAGATGAGATTACAAACAATTTAATTAAAGAATTCAGATAACAAACTCAATTATAAATAATATATAGAGATTACGTCAGACTATATGAAAATATAAAGAGACAAAAGGTATAAATTTTAATTAGTTCTTTTATTAATACTAAAAACTCATAAATTTACAAACTTACAAAAAAGTTTTCAAATTTACAAAAGAGTTTTAAAATCTGCAAAAAATTTAATTTATAATATGAGCAAAAAATTTATCTATTTATACAAAATTTCTTTTGTTATAGCTAATTATTTACTATATTATAAACTAACTAATTGAGAGATAGTCAATAGAAAAGGGAGAAATTCACTTTTTAGTCAAAAATTTTTTTATTGGATTACTTTACTGATCATGATCATGTGAACAAAACTAGTTTAATAATTAGAATTACTTAAAATTTGTAGATTTTTCCCTTTTCTATTCTTGCTTCCAATTTGATAAAATAAAATATAAATAAATAAATATATTAAAAATACGTAAAATAATAAAAATATAAAATATAATAAAAATAATAATAAAAAGTAAAATATTAAGAATAAGTATAATATTAAATATTTCTAAACTTTGTTTAACATGTAAAATTAGGATTATTATTTGTATTTAAAAGTCTATAAAATTATATAGATCTTCTGTATTTTCAGAATTTGTAGAATTCTTAGTATTTTCAGAATTCTAAATTATAAGATCATTGTATAATCATCACTGGTTATACTGAACCTCTGTTCTAAAAGTTTTAGTTCAGTATATAATGAGTTCAATATATAATATTTAAGTTATATACTGAATAGTTCAGTATAAATATTAGCCAATAAAATAGCCATGTAATCATTTAAATTTTTTGACAAACATGAAAAATCAAAATATCTTTATTATTATATATTAATATTTATAGCTATATTATATTGATAAAGTATTTAAATTATTTAACTATATTATATGTTATTATCAAATAATTTTGGATCTTGATTTACTTAAGATTATTTATAACTAAAACTTTAATTCATTATCTAACTTTTTTAAAATTTTTAATTTATCATTTACTTTACCAAATTCTGCCTTCTATTCATATAAAAATCTTATAATTTTATCTATAGCTTTTTTCTTCTACTAGACTAACTTTTTTCAATATAAGTATAAATTTAATTTTATCTGCTATGAGTTTCTCTTTCTTTTTCTTATTTGCATTTAATATAATGTTAACTACAGTTGACTCTCTCTATAATTACATCTCTCAGGACTATTAAATAGTATGATTATATAAAAGTGTACTTATAAAAAGAGTTTAATTATATAATCACATATATATAAAATTTAAATTAATATAATTATATAAACGAGATCTAAAATGTACTAAAAATAAATTTAATCTGTACTACTTTAATATATAATAAATATTACCTTTATATTACTAATACCTTACTCGAATAATCGATCATTCAATTTAGGCTTTTTTCCTTTAAAGGAGAAACCAGTTCTTTTATTAGACAAAAGTGTATCTTTGCTTTATGAAAAAAATTCTCACAAATACTTTTTGTAATTACAAAAACTTATGATAAAACCCTATTAAATTTGTTGAATAATGGTATCTATAATGTTAAAGAATTATATATAGAAAAATTTAAAAAATAAAAAAATAGTTCGTTAAAGATGCTAGAGAGAATGATTAATTTAAAAAAATTACTACAAGTGCTTCTTGTATACTTGGTTAATATATAAGGCATAATACTTCTCTTTCTATAAGAACTTTGCAAATAAGTTAAAAAATATAGGTATAGAAGCATTATATAGAACTGTTAGAAGGTATCTTTCAAGTATTAGTTATATAAAAAGACTGTCTAAAGTAATATTAATGTTAACTAAAGTATACAAGCAAAAGCGTATAAAGTGAATGCGAAAATATCAATAATAAATGGAACAAAATTATATTTATTAATGAAACAGCTTTTTAATTATTCAGAAATACAATAAAATAATAGTATAAAGGAAAAAAGCTAATATAGTGTATACTTAAAGATCGTATAAAAATTATAATATAGAGTGGTTTTGTTTAAAGAGTTTATTTTGTTTTAAACAAATTATGAATGTGAGATTATTAGCGCTTCTAACAAGACATTGATCTCAAGCATACCAATCATCTTGCAAAAGCTTTTTTTGGGAAAAATATTCAGATAATTTTAATAATTTTTTTTGAGTTAATTCTTGATAAATATGCTCAGTAATAATAGAAACAGCCAGATTAAGTATTATTAGTAATTGTTGATAAATAAAAAGGAGGGTATTTTTAGTATTGGTATTCTAGATTGGTTATTGAATAGCTCTAATCTAAATCCAATCAAAAATTTATAGCGATCATAAAGTAAGATAGAGAAATATATATCAAAAATATTGATGAACTAAAAGAATTTATGGTTAAGGAGTGGCAAAATATCTTGAAACTTTTCTAATCAATCTTTTAAAATCAAGTTTTAATAAAACTATTAATAAAATTCTTAAAACTTTTTAACTTCATATTGATACTGATTACACAATAAATCGTATTAATAGAATTGTTCTTATAAGCCATAATTAAATATAGAAACTTACATATTAATTGTTTTCAATACAATTCTAAATGAGTCAACTGACTATAGTCATTTAAATACTTATTAACCAAGGATATTCTAAATCTAAATTTGAATTCTCTAGAAATATT